CTTCAGCTCCCACGCAGCACCAATCGGCCATTGTGCCGCCTCTGCGCCCAACTCGAGTCCCCGCGGCGACAGCACAAGCGCCACAGAATTTCACCTCTGCACCCCCATCCGGGATCAACACGTCGGCGCCTGCGCAGTCGGGCGAGTCGTCCACCCAAGGCATGGCGGCGTCTTCCCGCATTAAGAATGCGTTTCCCCACGCCTTTGAGCGGTGGGAAGCTCTCTCGGCCCACTGGGAAGGCATGACGAGCTTCTGGCTGCGGAGACTGCAGGAAAACACAGACGAGGCGGAGCGCAACCCGATAAGCACCCAGCTCTCTCGGCAGGTTGCTGACCTTTCGGCGGCTGGCGCCAATCTCTTCCATGCCGTTGTCGAGTTGCAGCGGCTCCGCGCCAGCTCCGAGCGCAAATTCCAGAGGTGGTTCTTCGAAACCCGTTCCGAGTTGGAGCGGCACCAAGAGGTGAATGCGATGCTGGAAGCTCAGATGGAGCAAGAGCGACAAGCGAGAGCCGATACTGTCCGGAATGCTGCGCAGAATGAAGCCGAGAATATGAAACTCCAGAAACTGGTGACCGAGATGCGCCGAGAGTTGCTCATCTCCAAGGAGGAAGCGCGTCGCGCCTGGGAAGAGCTCGGCCGCCGCGAGCAAGAAGAGCGCGACCGTACTGTTTCGCTTCAGCAAGGCAACCCCACGATCGTTGGTGGAGTGCAAGTCGTACCGATGACGCAAACCATGCCGAATCGCACCGCAAGTCGGCATAACCGATCGCACAGCCAAGCTGCTGATACCTCGGAGTACGTAGCCGCCCAAGGATCTCAATATCCGCCGTATGCTTCCGCGCCTGCGCCTGCGCCTGCGCCTGCCGCGCCACAAATGCCAACCTCGGCCGGCGACCCGAACGCTGGGTACTACCAGCGGCAGCCCGACGGCAGCGGCCTGGATGCAGGCGAGTATGGCGGGGGTTCCGAAGCAGGGTACAGCGAAAACGAGTACATGATTGATGCGAGAGGGAATTTCTTGGTGGACGAGCACGGCAACAAGATTCCTTTCCACAGCCCCTCCGCTTCGCCGAGCCGAGCGAGACGGTCCGACGCCGGCACCGAAGAGTACGAGGCTGCTGCCTCGCAGGTGCCCACCAGCTACCCCCCATCCAGCTCACACTGGGCCGGCGCCCACCCCGGCCCGCCCCCCGGCGCGCAACCTGGCGGCCCTGAGTACGCTGGCCAGGGCTACGCTGCACCTGGGTGGGAGACCTTGCCCCGGCACCACCACCCGACCCGGCTAAGCGATGTGATCGAGGAGGATGAACGCAGCCGCACCTCGTTGGCCCACAGCAGTCAAGTGAGCCGTGCCTGAACGGGCGCAGGTCACTCACCTTGACTGCTGTGAGTTCTCTCTTGTGTGTGTGTGTGTGTGTGTGTTCCGGCGCACCAAGCAACCAACTCGAACACAATGACGAAATAACAAGGGAACGGACAGTAAATCACGACTTACGTCTTGTCAGCTTAGACTTTTTTCCTCTCTCCATGGATCGGGGCCTTGCGATGCTTTTCTCGGATTGCATAGCATCTCATCGGCAGGCGGCTTGCATTTATTCGGCATCACCAATGTGTTTTTTTTGATCACGGCTTGTCTTCTCTCGCCGACATGGGGACGTTTTTCGAATATCTGTTTTCATTTGGGGGCTGCTTCGACCCCCAGCCCCTTGGTAAATACTGCGGACGACAGATGACGGATGATGTCTCGGTGGATACGACTTCGGATTCTTCACGGCATTTTTGCGTTTTGTTTTTTGTTCGATTTTCTCTTTTTCTGTTTCGATCTTGTTGCTGTTTGTTGGGCGGGGAAGGGGCGTTTTATCATGAGGGCAAAGAGAGAGAAGGGGTTGTTAGGGATGGGAGATGCATTTTTTTCTTTTTTCACACCTCTCTTTAAACACCACCACCCCACCACCCTTTCCCTGGTTCTCTGTGTTTTGTGGTCTGTTGCTGGCATCAAGCTCCTCTCTCTTTCCGTGGGGAAGCTTCATGCGTGAGACCCGATCGGAGCGTGGAAGGGAGGGGGGAAGGGCGCGGAAGAAAGATTTCGATTACTGATTTTGTTTGGAGACGGGGGGAGATGGCCATGATGGAAAGAACGCCCTGTTTCATGAACCAACAACGGATAGACGACACTGGCACGGCATGGCATGTCCTACTTTACCTGTTTCGGAACGTCACGATCTGGTGGACCACTGGTTTCTGTTCGATCGACACTTTTCTGGGCTGGCGGGTTTGGCTTTTCTGTTTTGTTTCGTGGCTGGTGAGGCGCTGCTGGGAGGATAAGGGAGCGGAGCGGGGGATGGAGGGAAATAATCGTAATGTGGAGGTTGGGGGTGTTGGTGTTGGTGGTGGTGGGCAGCAGCGCGGAAGCCACGGAACGAGGATGGGGGAGCTTTTTCCTGTCAGGCATTGCAGTCAGAGGATTAGTGTGGAAGAGACCGGGGGGAAAGCCCTTTTGTACTTGTAGGGAACCTGACGGAATGAATGGAACGATCTTGGTCATGTGCGGTTCACCTTTGTGGAATGGCGCGTCTTGCTTGCATTCCAGTCCGTGACGCTCTCGTACATACCCGAACGGGGGGCTGAAACTTGAGCTCCAGGGCAGCTTGACTCGGAGTTCTGAAAGTCAATTTGTCTCTTGAGCTCTTGCTGCTTTAAGGCGAAGACTGGCATTTATCTCCTCAAACTCTCGAACACCATCTGTTTGTTGTTCATCATCTCCATCCATCTGCTGCCCCCCTGAGGTCGCCCCCCTGTTCGTCTAATGACGTCCACTGGGGGAACCAGGTGGGGTGGGGGGACATCCACTAACTAAAACCCCTGCATCCCCGAACGGCTTCTACCGCTGATGGTCGGGTCTCGCGCTGAACGACAGACAGCCTGATGAGCCGTTTCACCCTGTTGTCCGCCCTCAAAACTGTGGAAAAACAAAGTGTCTCTTTTTGTTGGTGACCACGGGACAACAACTCTCAACATATCCAATTTCAAGACGACGGGCGATTAATCACCTGTGTTGAACCCAAAGCACGTTTGTCTTAGGCCAACTCGAGGTGCGTGTGCCGGAAAACGCTCAAGGCTGCTTGCTGCTTGGGAGGAAGGAAGGTAGTGAGACTAGAGATGGCGGGTGTAGCGGCTCCTTTTTACAGGTATGCATGGCCTTTTCATTGGATTCTGTCAAGTTCCTCAACGGGGTTGCTATAGCTGTCCGAGTTGTGCTGACCGTTTTTGTGTGCAGGAGTTACCTGCGGGGGTTGACAACCTCCTCGCTCGCGCCTTGTTTGACGAGCGGTTTGAGATGCTCCTTTATCTCGACTGCTACTGCTGCTAGACGGATCCGGGTCGTCGGTGATGGGCTAGGGAGGGGAGGGCGGCGTGGTGTTGGCAGCGTGAGGGGTTTCAAGAGCGATATGGGTGTGAGGGGGCGGGAGCGGGAGCCGCCTGCTTTTGCTTTTGCTTTTGAGTGAGTTTTTTTTAACAGAGAGAAGAAGTGTGTGGTGTGGTTGACACTCGGACAGCATCGACGGCGTCCTGCTTCACGTCGCCAAGCCCATCCCCGGTGCGCCAGAGGTCTTGAAGTTCCTGAACGACTACAACATCCCCTTCATCCTGCTCACCAATGGCGGCGGCAAGCACGAGACAGAACGGGTCAAGGATCTCAGTGAGAGACTGGGTGTGCCGCTGTCGACAGACAACTTTGTCCAGTCCCACACGCCCTTCCGCGATCTCGTCGAAGGGCCTGGCAGCCTGCGAGACAAGACCGTCTTGGTGACAGGCTCCGACTACGAAAAGTGCCGTGCCATCTTTAAGGAGTAAGCAAGCAAGCAACCCCATCGTTCAACCAAAATCCGACCCTAACCGCCCCCCCCTCCCTCCCTAGGTACGGCTTCAAAAACGTCATCACCCCAGCCGACATCTACGCCGCCGACCCAACCATCTTCCCCTTCCAACCCCCGCACACCTTCACCACCCCCCCTCAACCCCTCCCCAAACCCCTCTACAACGAAACCACAGCCACCTCCCCCCCCTCAGCAGACACCCACCTAAAGGTCGACGCCATGTTCGTCCTCAACGACCCGCGCGACTGGGCCCTCGACATCCAAATCATCACCGACCTCCTCCTCTCCCACGCGGGGTTCCCAGGGACCTACTCCCCGCTGAATAATACTGACTCTAACGGTGGTGGTGGTGGTGGTTGGCAACAAGACAACCAACCGCCCCTCTACTTCAGCAACGCCGACCTGCTCTGGAGCGCAAACTACCCGCTGCCGCGGTTCGGCCAGGGCGCGTTCCAGGCCGCGCTCGCGGGCCTCTGGGCGCGCGTGACGGGCGGTGGTGGGGAACTGAGGCGGACGAGCATCGGGAAGCCGTACGGGGAGACGTACCGGTTTGCGGAGCGCGTGTTGGGGGATCATAGGCAAGGGGTTTTGAAGGCCATGGGGGGCCATCAGCATCAGCATCAGCAGGGGGTTGTTGGATCGCCGCCGCTTGGGAGGGTGTATATGGTGGGGGATAATCCCGAGAGTGATATTGCCGGCGCGAATGGCCATGTTAGTGAGCAGGGGACCGAGTGGGTGTCGGTTTTGGTCAAGACCGGGGTGTGGAGTGAGAGTAGGGGGGGCAGGTTGGAAGGGGGGTTGAAGCCCAAGGTGGTGGTGGATGATGTGATGGCTGCGGTGAAGTGGGCGTTGAGAAAGGAAGGGTGGGCTCAGGGGGAGGAGGGAGGGGAAGGGTTGCGGTGAGGTTGTTTTGTTCTTTGAGGGGGTGGGATGGGAGTGTACATGTTGTAGGACAGGTCTGTATAAAAGGAGGATTCGGTGTGGAATAGACTCGAAGGGCCTGAGTACAGGAATAGATGGAGCATTGTCCCCGAGGTCGAGACTTGGTGGCCCTGCTCTCGGGAAAGTGGCTCGCAAGCTGTTAAGCAGAGACTTCAGCCCGTCCATCCAGCAATCTGATTGGCTTGGTGGTCTAGTGGTATGATTCTCGCTTAGGGCTCACCCTACAGCTGCAAACTGAAAGTTGCGAGAGGTCCCGGGTTCAATCCCCGGCCAAGCCCCTCTAATGATGAATATCATTCATCATCGGCTCTTTTTTCCCTCTCATTCTTTTTAGCTTTTTCTTGATGGAGAGAGAGTAAGGTTATGAACCCGAGGAGCGTGCTTCGTTAGGGTGGTGACCCCCATGTTACCCAAGCGAGCCAAGAGAGCTGACACCATGGCGATACAGGACATGGCATGACCATCATGTGGCTCGGCTCATCGTTTTGCAGTCTTGAATTCCAAAGGTGAAAAGGTCATCGGCTCTTCGCAATGGGTCAGCATGAGCTTGGTTTGACGGTCTAAGCGAGCAGCGTGGCTCCTGGTTGGAGTACATATATTGCCATCCACCCCAAGCGTTGAGGTTTGTGCTCGGTTGGTCACCTTGCTGTCAAGTGGGATGGCACTGGTCCTCGGACGAAGAGAGGCCTCAATCGCAACCGTCGTGAGCCCGACGGGATGCTTTACGTCGCTGAACTCTTGGTGCTTGACCGACGAGACTCCAATTCGAGGACCCCGGTTCTGCGACAGGCCGATAAAGACCAAAACCAAAACCAAGCTCTTTGTCCCGCCGGCAATCGCGTCTGAGTGGTAGCGGGATAATCTATCGCAAATAGCCGGGAAGTCCCAATTTATGCGCTGCTATTTTCGTGGGCCGTGTCCCATGTGCTGTTGCTTGGCGAAGTCCGCGGCCGGGAAGCTGGGACGATGCTCGCCTTGAGAAAAGAGGCCGTGATCTTGAAGTCGCTGTTCGGGGCTCCGAGGGGACGGGACGGCATCAACCCCATGATTGCGCAAGTTGAGATTCGGATGCTGGAGAAGCCAGCCCCAGGCAAGGTATGTATGTATCCGTACACGAAGTCGATTTGGCGACATGTTCAAAAGCACAAGGAAAGGCGCAGCAATATTTCGCTTCCAGAGGAAAGCTTCCCACCCCCGCCTTCAGCTCTCGAAAGGCCGGTTTCAAAAAAAATAACGAAACGAAACGGGCCGTACCAAGTCGCCGGGTTTCCTGTTCCTCCATGCCGGCTTGAGAGGCCAGAGGAAGCAAGCCAAGAGGAGACTCAGTGGTAACGGAGTGTGGCTCGGTAAACTCCAGGCTATTCGATTCGCTGAGCTGGATATGTCCAGAATATGGCCTTGGCTGCATCTTTCCAATGTTGAGTCTCGGTGTGGAAACTACGAGGGGTAATCAAGTTGAGTTTGCAGTGGCATGAAGCAATTTCGACGCCCTCGTTAACTTTCCCTCAAAATCTCTCCCTTACAGAGACGTGGTGACGAGGGTGGACAAGTCCGTTACGTAACGGGGAAACCGTGAAACCAGACGAATTTCCATTCGGGAATTCCTGCTCCGCAACCCCAGACCTTGGCCCTTGGCTCAACCAAAACGCTAGTGCGAGCTGGCCCCGCAGACCGTCTCCTGCGACTCTCGTGATCTTGTTGGCCTCGGACGGTCGAGCTGCAGTTGTGGTTTCCACCAAGAAATTTTAGCTACCTACTTAGGTATCTCGGGATCAAACGTATCTCTTAGTCTGCCAGACTCTCCGGGCTGCAGGGCTATCTTCAACAATCGGGTCCATTGATGGAGACGGACGATAAGAGACCTCAAGGGTCGTGATGCTGAAGAAAAGGCTCGTCGCCCTGCCATTGGCCGAGACATTCGGCATGGAGACAACCCTGGTGGCGACCGTCTGCCGGTGGTCGCCGTTTTACGGATACGGACTCCCGATATCACAGTTTTCCTGGCAAAAACGTTCGTCCACGCCGTCTTGGCTTCGTTGATGGGCGCCGAGTCCCCGTCTCTTCTTGAAAGAAGCCGACGATTGCCCCCAAGCACCAGACCACCCAACGCGCATGATTGTTATCGCATCATGGCGGGATGGATGGATCGGTATTTAGTTATCGCCAAAGGCACGCACGCAAACGGTCGGCCTGCGCCCCAGACCACTTGGCGGGCCAGCCCCCGCTTCAATCCCTGTCTTCCCACGGGAGCCCGACCCATCGCCCAGCCATCAAACCAATTTAGGCAGGTCAGCAGCAATTAACGTTGTTGGGGCCTGCATCTTCCGCGATACTGGACTGGCGTGACTGGCTGGATGCTGGACGCCTGGCTGGCTTGCGTGCTTCCAGAACAGGGCCTCTCATCGACGAACCAGGCTCCCAGGCTCTCACGCCCGCACACACACACCAGCAAGGTGACCCCCAGCGCCCTGCTGGATACCCGACCCAGTGCTGTCTGTCCTGTCGCCCAGCGCCGCAGTCCGGTCGCTAAATCTGCAGTGCATGTCGGTAGAAAACCCACCAGTTTCCCTCGAGCCTCTCTTGTCTCTCCCTTTTCGGTGTCTTGCATTCCAGTCCCGTCAACCCCAAGCCCCCGCTCAGCGATCTGCGCCGAGCAAAAAGACAGCCATGTGCACGCGCAGCAGACATTAACCGTGCCCCCCTGTCTTCGCCGCGCAGCGACTCTCGCCTTTCGTCCCCTACCGTCCCCGTTTTTCACAACCGAGCGCATCCAACATTGGACGACCGACCACGACGACTGCGACTCGACCGAACGCTTTCTCCCCGGCCGCGTTGCGCCGAGAAGCACGGAGCGGGCCCAGCCTCGCAGGGTTGGAAACAAAAAAAAAAAGCTGGGAAAATGGCGCTGAGATTCCTCAAGTCTCTCCGGCGACGGCGTGGGGAAGATGTGGTCCCGGATATGGGGGGATCGATGGAGGGATCGATGGAGGGCGACTCGACTGGCTTCGCATCACTGAAGCAATTCGAAAAGATGCACCGATTCGACCCGAACTTGCCGCTGGATGAATTGGAGGAGGTCGACATCGCGCTGAGCACCGAGAATATCGAGAAGGGGGCCGAAATCGAGCAGATCCTAGCCGAGGACAACTCACCATATCCAGAAGTGAGACTCCCATCTTTGTCCACGCATCGGCTCAATAAGTCTTCTTGCGTCTTGGGAGAAAGACATGTGTGTGTTTTAACATTGGCCCTCTCCCCCTAGGTACGAGCCACGGTCCGAAACTTCGACGTCGATATGCCCGTCAACACGATACGGGCCTGGACCATCGGCATGTTCCTATGTACCGTCGGATCCGCCGTCAACATGTTGCTGTCCCTCCGAAACCCGAGCATCTCCCTCACAACCTTCGTCATCCAGCTGATTGCGTATCCCTTGGGCCTGGTCTGGGACCTAATCTTTCCCGATCGCGTTTTCAACGTCTGGGGTCTCAAGTTCAACTTCAAGCCAGGGCCATTCAATTTCAAGGAGCACGTCATTATTGTGGTCATGTCAAACGTAGGTCGACCGGGCTCACACCGCGTGTTGTGTGTGTGTGTGTGTGTGTGTGTGATGGCTAAACTTTTCACAGGCTGCGTATGGTGGTGGCGCGCTGTATGCCACTGACGTTATCATCGCACAGCGGATGTGGTACGACCAGGACTTTGGATGGTTATGGCAGATCATGTTTGGCATCACGACGCTCTGCACGGGCTATGGACTCGCTGGATTGGCAAGGAGGTTTCTCGTCTGGCCCGCCGCCATGATCTGGCCGACCGATCTCGTCAACTGCGCGCTCTTTTACACTCTCCACGATCACTCCCCGACAGATCCCGCACGGGCAGACGGCTGGAGCATCAGCCGCTACAAGTGGTTCATGATTGTGTTTTCCGGCTCCTTCTTGTGGTATTGGTTTCCCGGCTATCTCTTCCAGGGGCTGCAATGGTTCTGCTGGCTCACCTGGATCTGGCCCGAGAACGTCGTCGTCAACCAGCTGTTTGGTGGTTACAGTGGTTACGGCCTGTTCCCCATTACCTTGGTAAGGACGGATTTGTTTTTTTTCCTTCGGGAAAGGTTGTTCGTTGCTAATGAATGTTTCACCGCCACCATAGGACTGGAGCATCGTCTCTGGTTACCTCATGTCCCCACTCATCCCGCCCTTCCATGCCATCGCCAATGTGCTGGGAGGCATCACCGGCTTCTTCGTCATCGTCTCGCTCGGAATTCACTACTCGGGCATGTGGTACGCCGCCTATTTGCCCGTCCAAAACTCGCACGCCTACGACAACACCGGCCACCTGTACAACGTCTCGGCTATCTTGGGGGACGACCTGCAGTTCGACGAGGCCAAGTACAACGCGTATTCGCCCTTGTACCTCCCTATCCAATTTGCGCTCGCATACGGCCTCTCCTTCGCCGCCATCACGGCTGTCATCGTTCACGTTGGACTGTACCACGGCCGCGAGATCTGGACCCAGTGGAAGCTTGCCCGGTCTCAGGAGGATGACGTGCACATGCGGCTGATGAAAAAGTACCGCGACGCCGAGGACTGGTGGTACGTTGTGCTGTTCGTCGTCATGCTCGGCCTCTCCTTCGCCGTCGTGTGTGCCTGGGATACCAACTTCCCTTGGTGGGCGTACCTGGTCTGCATCGGCATTCCCATAATCTGGACCGTCCCCATCGGCATCGTGCAGGCCATCACCAACATCCAGCTCGGCCTGAACGTGCTGACCGAGTTCATCGTCGGCTACATGCTCCCCGGCCGCCCGCTCGCCATGATGATGTTCAAAAACTACGGCTACCTCTGCATGGCGCAGGCGCTCTACTTCATCCAGGACCTCAAGCTCGGCCACTACATGAAGGTGCCGCCGCGCGTCATGTTCTGGTCGCAGCTGATCGCCTCCATCTGGTCGGCCATCGTCCAGATCGCCGTCATGAACTGGGCCCTCGCCACCATCCCCGACGTGTGCTCCGAGACACAGGTGCACCAGTGGAACTGCCCGAGCGCCCGCGTCTTTTACACGGCCTCGATCATCTGGGGCGCCATCGGGCCCGCGCGCATGTTCTCGGGCGGCGCCCTCTACAGCTCGCTGCAGTGGTTCTGGCTCGTCGGCGCCGTGGCCCCCGTCATCACCTGGTTCCTCGCCCGCCGCTACCAGCGCGGCATCTGGCGCTACGTCAACATGCCCCTCATCTTTGGCGGCTCGGGCATGCTGCCGCCCGCCACCGTCTTCATCTATT